AAAGTAATAACTAAATAATTAATTACTATATATATATATATATATATATATATATATATATATTGCTAGTTATATTATCAAAGGTAACCTAACTAGAGCTCACCTCATGAAGTACACTCTTTAAATGCAACAGCTGAGTCTTGATACTGTTCATATCCTGACAGATAAGTTTGTACGTTGGCACATCTAGTTTAACACTCCCATCATCACTCTCACTCTGGGGATAATGGAAAGACATTGGAGTTGGCTGACTCACTGATCGTACCCTACATTCAAATTGTTGCTCATATGATGATGTATTATTAAAAGTAGTATTTGCATTTCTGTGCTGCCCTTTTCTTCTGTGAATGCTTCTAATATAAAATAAGGTATATCCAAGTTAAAGACATTAAGTTTGAAAAAAAGTAAAAATAATAATAGGATGAAAAATAGAAATAAAACATTTATTTTTAATTTTTTTTAGAAACCATACCCTTGGCTAAAATTAAATTAATACAAATACATTCTACATTGTACCTCTACTTAAGAGCATACATTGATTATTCAGACAAAATAGTAAACCTTTTTTTTTTTAATACAAATATTTTATAAAAATATGAACATTAACTTGAAATATAATATATACAGATATGATCCTTTTGTTGGAGATGGATAGGAAGCAATAACAGTAACATGGAAATCCTACACTTTGTAATGCAATCCTACAAAGCTCTTGCCCCATGCTCAAGGTTTCTACACATGTATTCAAATGACCAGCAGATTATATATAGACTGGATGTGGAAAATGTAAAAGACACCAGGTGACATATCTCCAAAAATAGAATGGGAAGAGAAATGCAATACATATGAGCCAAGTGACTAAGGTATTAAATCTGTCAAATCTTTCCATTACTGATCTTATCTTGCTTGAGTTTTGTTAACAACAACCCAACAGCTAACACAATGAACTTGATGGACATGATCTTAAAAATTATATGGAGCATAAAAAAATCAATCAATCTACATATAGTTCAACTCTGAGAAGACCATAATTTGAAATTAATATTAGGTACTCATTTAAAAAAAAATCTTAATATACGTGTATCAACTTGAAATTAATATTAGGTACTCATTTAAAAAAAATCTTAATATACATGTATCAACTTGAAATTAATATTAGGTACTCATTTACATAAAAAATCTTAATATACATGTATCAACTTGAAATTAATATTAGGTACTCATTTACATAAAAAATCTTAATATACATGTATCAACTTGAAATTAATATTAGGTACTCATTTACATAAAAAATCTTAATATACGTGTATCAACTTGAAATTAATATTAGGTACTCATTTACATAAAAAATCTTAATATACATGTATTAACTTGAAATTAATATTAGGTACTCATTTAAAATAAAAAAGCTTAATATATGTGTATCAACTTGAAACAAATAAAATATTAAGTATTCATTTTGAAACTTACAGAAAATCTTAATATACATGTATCAACTTGAAACAAATAAAATTATTAAGTATTTATTTTAAAACCCACAGAAAATCTTAATAACTGTATTAATTTGAAACAAATAGTACATTAAGTATTCATTTTAAAAACACGCATACAAAAACCTAATGTACATGTATTCTTTCTCTTATATTAATTTTGCACACATTATAGTAAACTGAATAGACTGCTTACCCTGTATTTATTGATGCAACATCAAAGCTGTCATTTGCTTCAAAATCCAACATCATATCATCAGAGGCTAGACTAGAACATGAGGAAGCAATATCTGAACATGACTTCAGACTATTACCAAAGTTAAATGCACTCTTGTTTTTATAACTATTTTTCCAGTTTTCTTGCAGAGCACTCAGTTCAGTAACCGACTCTTGTAGAGTGGAAGTAAGCCCACTCGGGTAGTACTTCCCACATCCAAAGGTCACTAGCCCTGGCTGGTCTGCTATTTCATCATCAATTAGAAATTCTCTATTATCTGACTCATAGGTGAGACTAAAACAGCTCTGCTCTTCAAGAGTACTGTCAGTGGTATTTTGTGACACTTGGCTGGTACTCATGTGACTTTTTTCTCTTTCAGAAGTCTGCAGAAGCAAAGAACTTAAACAACCATCATCACTGTCAATTTGTTCATGTTGTCGATCTTCATGTGTTTTTTCTGAGGTAGTGGCAATGACTGTGATCTGATTTTCACTTGAAATCTGTTTTTCACACTTAGATATGGCAGGTTTTGGAATGTTTGGTAAGTTACTAGGCAAGTATGATCTTTTGGTATTTTGGCTGCTGGAACCTTGAAACTTCTTCCAGTGTGTCTGACCTTCGTCAAATTTCATTGGTGGTATTTTACGATATGCTAGGATACCTCGAAATGAGCCGTAAGACTGAGGAAAGGAGTTTTCAATTATTCTTGTTGATTTTTGCTGACAGTCTTCTTTCTTGTCACATCTGTAAGCCGAGGTATTTGCTTGAAACTGGTTCTGTCTGCTACTGCTAGGAATACGAGAGAGTAACTGACTCTGTGTAGCTTGAATGGAAGTAGCAGAATTCTGAAACTTTAAATTTTCCAAGGATGGTTCATAACTCTTGTTAAAAACAGGTGATCCTTCAAATGAACTAAAATGTTCAGCATCTTTAAGAGTATCAGAATCCTCAGCTTTTATGCCCATTTCACTAAAACTATTTCCAAGTCCTGAATCTCGGTCCCTGTGCTTACCGGATGAGTTGATGCAAGTTTCCTGGCTGTTTAATAGGGATGGAGAATCACTTTTATTTTTTTTTGGTTGAGACAGATATTCAACCTGTTGCAACTTTTCATCTTTTAGCAAATCTTTTGTACTGATTACATTATATGAATTATCTGATAACTTTTTTTCAATTGTTCCAGTCTCTTTTTGTGGCATGTCTGAAGTGCTAACTATTTTTCCTTTTAGCTGACGCTCTTGAGGCTTTCGTATTCCACTGATAAAAGATGTTAATTTAGAAGGCTTTTGAAAAGTACGTATGGGTAGCCCAGATTTTTGTAGGTGGTCTCCCATACCTTCTTTACCAATACTCTGATTATGAATATTCTGTGCTGGTTCAGAATAATACTGGCTACTTGAGCTATAAAACAAATTAACAGAGGGTGGTTTTTTGAATATTTCTTCAAATTTTTCTATATCCTGTTCACTTTTGATGTTTGAGACGGTGTGGTTCTTGGAAGTATGGAGAATATTTGATGAAATATTATCATTATTATCAATCATATGCAAGTTTTTTGTATTACATTTATTAAAATTAGAATCAACACTCTCTGGTTTTGATTTAACAAAATTGGCATTTGTTGGTGACAAAGTCTTATTCTCTTGATTAATTTGTGAAATAGCAGTTAAGCTGCTAGATGATGGAGAGGATGGCGATATTTTATTTCGTCCCAAGGATTTCGCAGAACTTGGTACAAGAATGTGAAGTTTAGAAGGTCTATTTTTATTTAAGTTAGAAGAAAGAGAAGCATTTTCACTGAACCCACTATGTTTTTCTGAAGCAAAGTTTAATCTTCCAAGGTGGGGAAGCTTACTTCCCAAAAGTGGCCGTTTCTTCAAAGCAAGTCCACAAGAATCTGTAACATTCCTGTTATAAGGAGAAGATCTTATAGATCTTGGGGCATGTCCAGACTTAGGAGGCTCCATAGGAAGATTATAATAATAAAGATCTTCACTGGTGATCTTACGAGAGTAGCATGTCCCCATTAAATATTGCAGAAGTGCACCTGCAAAACAAAATATTGCCTTAAATATTAAGATTCCAAATATCAACATGTACTTCTTTCAACAGT